ATTATCATTACAAAATTTCAATTCTAGGTGACCGATTCGTTCAACTCTTAGAAATCAATGGAATACCGTCTAGTAATTCATTATTTAGCTGTAGAAATAATCTTATTCCCATTCGTCGGGTAAGGCCCTGCCCAAATGTGAACGATAAAGCAATCAAACGGATTCTAAAACACGTCCATACCTTTGCTTGACTCATATACAAGAGTTTATCCATATTCAGGATACTCTCAATTCTATGCGCAATTATGAGTGCGGTACAATCCGCAAGTGCTTCAGTAAGACATTTCTGCAGTAAACGATCCATATTATTGTCCAAACTGCCTGTAGCTTCGTCCAGTACGACGATTCGCACTTTACTGCAAACAGCAATCGAAATTTAACGAATTGAGGGAGTGCGATTAGGGCATAAACTTAATTAAGTGATTGCTGAACAACGATCAGTGTATATGCTTCTATGATAGCACTGATTCGAGGGATTTAAAATGTTCGCGACTGAACATGGTGCTGAGAAATTGCAAGGAACTGCATTGCAATGAAGAACTTCTTGAATTGATTTACAAGTATTTTGTCGATCTATGACATTGATAATGTTAATTGCTAAGAGCAAAAGTATTCATATATGATGAAAGAAATATTTCGGAGCAGATACCGCAAAATTGCTCTAGCCATGCACAACAACTGTCGTTCACCAACAGACAAATTTCGACCACCTTCAGTCACATTTGATTCAAGCTTGTTATCCAAAGAGCTTATCTGTAAAAATTTCTTGAAATCGCTTCAGAGCTCCTTACAATCATATCAGTTTATTGAGCAAACATCAAAATTTTTAACACATAAAAGTATCCATGATAATTATATGTTAGAATTTGTAATGATCATAAAAACGAATGTGTTGTTTGAAACATTCATGCAAAATTCGATAAATTAGAAAGTAATACTGGCGAAATCCTCGCATAATTTATCGTTGGAGAAAAATATCATCGAGAAAGCAGTTGAACATGTCCAAAGATAAGCCGAATCAAAGCGGCACTAATGGACGAAAGAAACCAACCATATCTTTCAGGAACGTTTGCTCGAGTGCGTTCCATAGCTGATCATCCGTAAACTCATTACACGGA